TCAAGCGTGCGTTTACGAGATCTGCGCGAGTTGCCAATCTCTGGCTTTATACGTCTCTGAGTGAATAAAGCTATCGGGGAGGTAGTTGGGGGTTAGGGGCGGAGTTCAGATTCAGATTATTTTATTCATTGTGTAATACGCATCGTAGACAAGACATACAATGACATTCAAATAATACAGTTATACAATAATAGTCGAATACAATATGATGCATAGTGTACAATGACATACGTGATAACACTACAGTATATCCCTTAAACCATCCTCGATATCTTTGGGAAACGCCCACTTCGCTCTCTACAAGAAAATGAGCGTGACCCCTGGATATCGAGGATGACCTTAATCGTGCAGTACGACAAATTGACAAACATCATGATAGACAGCATGTTACACTGAAGTACACCCAAATCGTACAATAGTATACAGTGACATCAAAACAATATAGTACATTACAATGTTAATAATACAATGATAATTTCAATGCCGTGCGGTATAGGTAATGCTAATAAGATTTAATATAGTAACATACATTGTATCTCAAAGACGAACCGTATATCAAGGTAAAATGCAATCTAGTAAAACAGCAAATACCATGTTATACTTGACGTTAGTGCAGTAGCATTACTTATAGATCGCTGTGACGTTTGACTTCATTTCATCAATTGCGATTTCATTCACTTTGATGCGCGCGTTAAGGGTCTGTCATCCACTATCGATGTACCTCGCCGGGACTAAACCGGAGCAAAAAAAAATACAACGGCGAGAAAATCGGCAGAGCTCCGGCTAGAAAGCACTTGAAAATCAAAAATGACCATAGCAATACCGATATAGTACCGGCGTTCCCGTTGTGATACCGTTGTTCTGCTGATGTAAGAGCCGGTGTGCTACCGAATACCACTTTTCTGTCACCTCAGTGTTTCCTAGGCGCCGCCGTTGTTCTAACGATGTGCCACCGTTGACCGGAGCTATAGCGGAGTGATACCGTTGCGCTGCCGATGTTACGGTAGTACATCGTTAGTACATCGGCAGCGCATCAGTACTATGTTGGTGGTATTCGGTGGTAATACGGTATCACACCGGTACCAGTACGGTACACATTGAGGCCACCGGACAGCCGCCGATCCATTACTGGGCGCTACCAGTGCTCTACCGACATTAACGAAGCCATACCGGAGTACTGTCGTTGTACTGCCGTTGTAGTCCCGTTGCTCCCTTGAGCATGTTCAGAAATGTCTACCGTCGACTGCCGTTGCTCATTTTTTCGCCGATGTCCTGGCGATGTACTACCGTTCTTAGCGATGTGATACCGTTGCGCTGCCGTACTAGTACCGATCCCCGAAATTCGCCAAAGTTGTGCTTCGTTATAGCTCCGGCGACCCAAATCCGGCTTGGTGTGACAGGCCCTTTCAGTGCTTACCACAGTTATAATCTCAGTACATACCTAATTATGACGAAGTGATATATTTAAGGCGATATTAGAACCTTAATTTGCACGGGATTATTAACAGGGTCCGATTTGAGAGGGAAACGACATTGTCCTGTATAGTCGGGGTTAAGGGGCTGGATACTACCCAGCAAAAGTAGTAGCTAGAATGAAACTTTCGATGTAGTAGTGTCAATCTGATTAAAATCATCTGTTACATGGCTCCGCCTGAACATCTGAATGTGCCGCGGTCAGGGTCACGTTCAAGTGACCTTTAGATGAATCAATCAGAGGCGCAATGGCAAAAGTTTGCCAGCGAATCGGAATATCATGGTTGATAGATAAATAGCGAGGGGTAATTTTCCAAAACAAATATGGCGGCGGGAACTGATGTTTCTACGACGCCAAGGAAAACGTACCCATTGGGTAATAATTGCGTAGGCAACACCGCCATAAGTCTTTCTTCTATAATAAAGCTTTGAATATCTTTTTCTGTTAGGGTTTCAGACGATCAATCTCAAATAACTTCAGAACTTTCGCATCATTCTCATCAATGTCCGCCATATTTGTTACAACTACGAGCGCCCTTTCGAAAGAGGGTCTCTGATTGGTCAAAATTTATTGAGTATTTATAAATATAAAGGTCACCTGAACGGGACCCTGACCGCGGCACACTCAGATGTTCAGGCGTAGTACGAAGTTAACGAAGCCATGTAACATATGAATTTAATCAGATTGTAGTAGTGTGGTCCGACTTCCTGACAATCAAAAAACGTATTTTAAGGATCCGTGTACCGCTCCAGGCACTACCCAATTCCACTGTGGTGTTTTTTTTGTATATTTTGGATATATAATTATAACAATTTTGCCAGGGTGCTTCCGTTAACTAGTTAGATCGACAGTGTAACAACTAGAGGTTCAGGGTTCGAATTTTGGACCCGTATTCATAACCAGAAAGTACAGCTGGTTAGAGCGACAGTGTAACAATTAGAGGTTAAAGGTTCGAATTCTGGACCCGTATTCATAACCAGAAAGTACAGCTGGTTAGAGTGACAGTGTAACAATTAGAGTTTCAGGGTTCGAATTCTGGACCCGTATTCATAACCAGAAAGTATAGCTGGTTAGAGCGACAGTGTAACAACTAGAGGTTCAGGGTTCGAATTCTGGACCCGTATTCATAACCAGAAAGTACAGCTGGTTAGAGCGACTGTGTAACAACTAGATGTTCAGGGTTCGAATTCTGGGCCCGTATTCATAACCAGAAAATACAGCTGGTTAGAGCGACTGTGTAACAGCTAGAGGTTCAGGGTTCGAATTCTGGACCCGTATTCATAACCAGAAAGTACAGCTGGTTAGAGCGACAGTGTAACAATAAGAGGTTTAGGGTTCGAATTCTGGACCCGTATTCATAACCAGAAAGTACAGCTGGTTAGAGCGACTGTGTAACAACTAGAGGTTCAGGGTTCGAATTCTGGACCCGTATTCATAACCAGAAAGAGCAGCTGGTTAGAGCGACTATGTAACAACTAGAGGTGCAGGGTTCGAATTCTAGACCCGTATTCTTAATCAGAAAATAAGGCTGGTTAGAGCGACTGTGTAACAACTAGAGGTTCAGGGTTCGAATTCTGGTCCCGTATTCATAACCAGAAAGTACAGCTGGTTAGAGCAACTGTGTAACAACTAGAGGTTCAGGGTTCGAATTCTGGGCCCGTATTCATAACCAGAAAATATAGCTGGAGAGAGCGACTGTGTAACAACTAGAGGTTCAGGGTTCGAATTCTGGACCCGTATTCATAACCAGAAAGTACAGTTGGTTAGAGCTACAGTGTAACAACTAGAGGTTCAGGGTTCGAATTCTAGACCCGTATTCATAACCAGAAAATACAGCTGGTTAGAGCGACTGTGTAACAACTAGATGTTCAGGGTTCGAATTCTGGGCCCGTATTCATAACCAGAAAATAAGCTGGTTAGAGCGACAATGTAACAACTAGAGGTTCAGGGTTCGAATTCTGGACCCGTATTCATAACCAGAAAGTACAGTTGGTTAGAGCCACTGTGTAACAACTAGAGGTTCAGGGTTCGAATTCTAGACCCGTATTCATAACCAGAAAATACAGCTGGTTAGAGCGACTGTGTAACAACTAGAGGTTCAGGGTTCGAAACCTGGACCCGTATTCATAACCAGAAAGTACAGTTGGTTAGAGCGACTGTGTAACAACTAGATGTTCAGGGTTCGAATTCTGGGCCCGTATTCATAACCAGAAAATAAGCTGGTTAGAGCGACAATGTAACAACTAGAGGTTCAGGGTTCGAATTCTGGACCCGTATTCATAACCGTTCTCATGCTCAAGCATCCTTAAATCACGTGACAAGGTAAATGAGGTCCTGAGTAACCATTTGGAGACTCTTCAATTGTTTTTCGAAATTCTTCACAAATTTATCACCGGAACAAGATATTAGGCTTGAGCACAGAATCCTAGTTTGAGCATGAGAAAGGTTTCATGAATACGGAACCAGGTCTAGATTTGCAGATTTTTTTAAACACTGAACACTAGCTTCTGTTGTTGATGATATTTTATTTATTTCTTCTTCCCTTTTGTCTAAAAAAAGTTCTATAAGGTATAGTTTTCTATCTGGAAATTATTCTTAAAGCTTAAGTCATGCCGGAAAAATACGTTTCTAATGCATAATAACAGTTTTCGACAGTGGTTCATGGATCCTTAAATGCATCTGGTCGGATGGTAGGGTTAGGGGATACACGGACAGTAAAGCACATTTAGCTGTCTCGTATGTCCCGGGTTCAAACAGTATAACCTGTTTGAAAAAGGGGAACAAATATTGCCAATTCCGAAGGTTAATTGAAACATGACAACTCAAAATCGCGACCGCAAAGTCTCATAAATGTTTAACAGTACATGTGATAATGTTGGTGACAATGTACTGAGGTGTCATAATGTATTTATTACTCAGTCAATCAGCGTCAACTGACAATTAAAACACAAGCATGTCACCCCGGGCTGACGTCTCTCGACAATACAGGCTTGTGATTGGCTATTTAATGTGTAGTTTATTACTTGTTTGTTATGACGACGGAGCTATTTCGCGTGCTAATCTGTGCCAGGCGTCCAGTAAAAGATAGGGGTATCGTGCGGTTATACGTCTTAACTCAACTTGTCAAAAATTGTATGCTGCCATAGTATGTGTATATCACTTTAAATTCGTGTTTCGTTACTTTTGCCCTCAAAATATTTCCTAATATATTATTGAAAGTTAAGAACCACCAATAAGTTTAAAAAAAAATAGTATACCGAGACGATCCCTGGCAAGTGGATAAAGTCGTCACAGGACTCATTGTTTAAAATATGTTATGGAGAAACCTGCAAAATCCGACCTCACAAACGAACAAACAGCTTGAGAGGAATAATGTATATCCCCTTATAGATATTCTCTAATTTTGAAATATCGGGGCTTCTTAGGCTAGATGATAAAAAATACTCAAAACAATTCTCATGATTTTCCTCCTCCCTTGCTTGCTATAGAAGTGTTGTCACTTTCAAGCTTTTCATTGACCTTGCAGCATTACCGGAAGTGCCGTCACACTCTGCCTTTGGCGTTCACCGTAACCGTGATGACGTTCTGGAAAACCGTGTTGTACTTCCTCATGTATGTCGTCTCCGACACGTACCGACAGAACAACACGACGATGGAACATATCTTCCTTTTCATCATTCCCAACGGTTTCTGGATTGTCGTTCCGTTCATTGCAATGGCAAAACTCTGGAGCTTGTTACTTCCGCGTGGCGCAAATGGCAGCAGCACAGCTCCAAGCACCCGGAGACGGAAAACCAAGGCAACATAAAGATTCATAATTTCTGATTTTTGATAACGCCAGTCTTCCCAAGACTGAAGTGCACTATTCTTGGCTTTAAAAAATGTTTAATTACTTAAGGAGGTATGCTGTCTTGGCTGTGAAATTAATTAATTAACTTAAGGAGCTATACTATCTGACTGTGACATGAAGACTTAAGTAGTTATGCTTCACGTCTTGTGTGACACGCATTTTATTTTATAAAATAGTTTACGTTATTGACCAGCCCATTGTCTTAAGGATTGACAATATACATTGTGCATGAATGACTTATTTGTTACTGTGTAATGTCACTAATGTGCAAGGTAACATACAGCCTTAAGACAAAATGACGAAAGTCAGTGGTTAATATATACGAAGAAGACCACGAGCTCAATTTCATTTTCATGACGTAAATTTTAGCTGTAATCAAATTGGTGTTTGTTATTATTATTTTTATGTATCATCATTTTGGTCAGTGAATCTTTGACGAACTGGAAACTAGTGACATTATTTACGTTTCAGAACTACAACCAATGAATCAGTTGTCTTCAATACGAATTATTGATGTAAATGACATGTCATTGACTCAATTTTTCAAAGTCGGCTGAATTGTGAAGCAAATAATTCATGTGCCAGGTTTCATTTGTAAATTTAACATTTGTTAGTTTTGATGACAAGTGTCTCGGAGCTCATATCAAATATGTTTGATACATTTTCATATTTGTTTATGAAATTTATGAATTATTAAAAGAGTAATATTTACATTTCCACTGTAAGTTCTTGTACATAGTGCTTTGAACGTTTCGGGATCAGTGTCAATCTGACGCTTCTTCTGCCTCGCATAACAGGAGACCAGCATAAGAAGCAAACATTTTGTGACGATTGTCCAGGAAAGTCGATACAGAAACTTCAATACTACAGATATTAGTCAGATCACTTACATTTAGATCACTGATAACAATATGGAATGAAAATAGGATTTTTTTTCAAAGTTTGTGGACTTGTGTTCATACCAGCGTGAACATTGAAAACATATCGTTTGATCCTTAGTATCATTTCGTATTTACACACTGAAACGAATATTTGACATTTCATCCGTCAAAGATTATGTTTGAGAAACACGACCGGGTCATCTCTCTCTTTCACATGACTAACAAACAATACATTACAAAGAGCACCATATTTTCGCATATATTGTCTCCTTATGAGAAGAGTTAAATGAATAGTTACATTAATCAGTATTACAACAAGTGTCGTGTCATTTAGTCCCCTGTGAGTAAAGTGTTTATCATCAAGACGCTACTACCAAAGTTGGAAAAGGACACCAGGTTCTGGATGATCTACACTGCAGTGAGTAGGAATCAAAGACACTCGTTTGTCAATCGTTTGTAACAGTCTTATCTTTCACAGTATTCACAGTATCTTCCATAATTGGAAATCTCGTTGGAGCTTGTTTCGATGCCTGAATATTTTTTTCAATCTTGTAAACATATCAGTTCAAAGATCATTTGAAAATCAACTAAACAGTCTGCTGAATAAATTAGCTGTACTCTGTATAACAAATAACCGGAATTTCCGAAAGAATGATGCTACCCTTAATCAGTTAGTATTTACTATTTCGTCAAGTGTCATCGTTGGGAAGATTGGTCTCCGAAATTCCGGTTCCAGATATCAGAAATATTAATTAATGTGATTTCATGGACACCGACCAATCCGGTCCGGGAATCCGAGGCTACATTGTATCTAAAAAAAGAATGGATTACTTGCCGGAGGGTTTCCGTTCAGGCGAAGCCAAACAGGGAAAAAATGGTACTAAGGCAGATAACTCTGTCTATATACATGTAGAAGGCATAACCTGATTCGCGTCAATTTTTGCTTGTCTAATACTGCCCAGTAAATCCGATGTTCCTGTCGCTACAGCTTAATAATTGTTTGTTTAACGTACTATAGGTAAACCTCTTAAAGCCAATATATGTCCCATTACAATACATTTACTTAGGAAAATGAATTTGACTCGGGTTTTAGTCTTAATTGACTTCGGCTCGTGTAGTTTGTACGAACATTTCTCATTTACATGAAGCTATTCCCTCGCGTGTTCGACTTCGCTTGTTGTCCCATTATTTAATCGTTTAACCAAAGATGGAACCGCTGAATGTTATTTAGATCAATGGAAAGAATTTGTTGCATCGAGACCCAATAATTAAGTTCCATGTCACGGAAGAGTAGCTCCTGCAATGTTGTACGTGTGTTTGCCCATTTGTACATATATGTAGAAATCCCGCTTTCGTGCCTGTGTCATTAACCACTGCAGCAGATGAAGGCTCGTTGTCATGTTGACGATTCCCTAGAGAGTTCTCAGAAATCTTCTTCGCGGTTTTCATAAATCACAACCGAAAGAAAGAGACACAAAAGATAAATCCACGATTTTCACTTTCAATGATGATTTTGTTTGGGTTCTTAATGTAATTGCTTTAGTTTTGCAGTCCAGGCAGTTTGTGTTGGTTTTTGACTCTGATTTCATTTACTCAATGTATTTTATGTGTAATCTTGTTTACCTCTTTGTCGACACATACAGTTAAGGCTCCATGTCCCAGTGCAGGCAAAACACAAGAATTCCACGCCATTTTGTTTGTACAAAGAGTAACCTCCCCTTAATTTCCCCTGGTGTCATTGTGTAGCGTCTGGACCAGTGTACTACTGGCGACCAGGGTGCTCAGTAAGTTAGAGCGACAGTACAAGTATCAGAGGCCCAAGGTGCGAATCCTGATATGGCTCCGATGCATTTTTACACTCGGAACACGAGTGCTGTTTTTTGCTCAGTTCTTATAATTTTTCTTCATGTCACTTAAGATTTGGTTTTCTTTTTAGAAATGATTTATCAAAGCTATTATCATGCCGGGAAAAGCTTCAATTGCATACCTGCTTGTTTTACAGTGGTACGTTGATCCTTAAGGATTGAGGTGAATTGATGATGGTTATACGTGGATAATCATAATGTTCCGTAAGTGAAACCAATCATTCAAAGATTTAGGAATATAAAAACAACAACACGTATTCAGAATTTCTGGGGTAAGAGGATGTATGCATCACTTTGCTTGCGAACGTTGTCAATGGTTAGGAAGTCTGATTCGTTCTTTATGTACATGTATAATGACAACCCCCATACTTAGTTAGGTTGTTACTAAGCAACGAAGTGTTTTATTTTCCTAGAGAACACAGATGTTATATTATTTGGTCATCTAGATTAATACTAGATAGCGAGACAGCTTTTCTAAGATTTAAATGTTTGTGTTGATATCAGCGCACTGTGTTAATGCCGAAAATATACGGACTTTTACGAAATGACACGGATTTGCACGAATACACACGGACATTCCGAAACTTCTTGTACGGCCATTACAAGATATTTTTTTATTTAGGTAAACATATATATGGCTGGACATATATGCATACACTAAAAAGGACATACACGGACAGTCAAAATGATGTATGCCGACATAAAATGGCCATACAAGAGCATACGAGAACACATTTGGGAATACGTAATCATTTCAGGAAATACACGAACATATCCGATCATGCACGAACATAGAGAGAGACTCACTCGGAAACATACACTACAACAGACATATACATACATTTATCATATTAAAACCGTGTTATGCAGTGTCATAAAGCCATCACATAAATTAGGTTTATGTAACGTGTGTAATATCACTCCGGAAATTACGTCTCAATCGAATAGGAACAATCAATGAGACGTCACGTCATTGTGAAGCGGACGCCATTTTCATCGTTTCAGAGGCAGCCAAGTGCAAAATATTTGTTTCCGATCACATTTATACAGTTTACTTTGTATTATATTATAAAAGAATCTGTCATTCGTTTCCCTTCATATAAGATTTGTGATACTCGTTTTGGATTTTTCATATTTCCAAAACTTGTATCATAAATCTAATATGAAGGGAAACTTATGACAGATCCTCTATATATACGGACAAGTACTCACATACAGAGAAAGCAGAAGAGGACGCAGGAAAAATCACTCAGACAGACAGACAGACAGACAGACACAGAATTATATATTATATTATATATATTTCACCAACAACAAAAATTCTGAGCATGAAAAGAACTCTGACATAAACGGACGTGCTTTGACAAACATGGAGACATCGAACAGAAAGACATTCCTGAAAACGATATGCCGTGCTTTGAAAACGTTCGGACCTGTAAATTAAAGAGAGAAAAGAAAAAAAACGCTTTAAACTATTTTGTTTTAGTTTCAATGCGCGATTTCGACACCATGTTTTAACACTTTTGCCACTGGTGTCAAACTTTATACATCATCGTTTACGATTGTTTGTGGCTCGTGCCATTTGTAAAATTAGCGTCGATCACGTGACCCCTTCGGTTCTTGATTGTCGTCGGGTCATTTTCAGTTAAACAGTGTCACCCTACAACTGTCATTGAGGAGATATACGAGAACTGGCGAATAGAATTATTGTGTGACGGTTCTATCATACTTAGTAGTGTAACCTAGGTGTAAAAAGATCCGTCGACCATACTCGGACGACGCTATGCCAGCACGAGCCGGAAGTGTGAGCAGACATCTTAGTTTATATCAACATTATATTATTATTTTTTATATAGACCCTGTGAACAATGAACACCGCCCACATTCAAGGTGTGCGGACGGTATGAATATAGATAACATTGTATCGCCGAGTTTATCAGCAGACGACAGCGGTGACATATTCACATTTATATGCAACAGACCGGATGTTGACGGTCACATTTAATGTTTTCTGATTCGTTTGTGTAACAACAAATATTTCTCAATCGAGTCAGTTTTCGCTTTATTTCGGTCAATAGCTACCCCTAACATGCATGGTCTATGCGTCATATTTCATAAATAAAACTAATATTACTTTTGTTCTGCATGAAACGTCGACACCGTCGAACATTTAAACATTACTTAACACCAACAAAACCATGCAGTATAGAAGTCGTGGCTTTATGAGTTTCATCGAGAGAAAACATACAGGAAATACCACAAAATGTCTGGAAAGTCTATCTTTTAAGATTTTAAAGGAAAACAGAAATGCTGTTTCCTTTTTAATTGCAGTAACACCTCTTTATACTGACAGCATATGTCCAAATTCTGACATTATAAAGGGATTGGCGATATATCGAGGGATACGTATAAAGGCAATGTTAAGTTGACAGGAAAAGAGGAACCTTGAAATAAGTTAGCAGAAAGCGAGGTAGCAAATGAAATGGAGGACATAATGTCGAGGTGTACAATAATAAACACTACGATAAGTCAGGCAAGTGTTCGCAATTCACCTTTTCCCCAACTTTTTATGCAAACGTCTAATGAATGGAAGCCCCTCTCTTGTTCTAATGTATCATCATTGAGATAGTTTTGAAATTAACATTTTCTCTATCGAACTCTCGTAAAACAACATATCTCGCGAGATTTGTACCTACCGCATTTGTGATGCACTTTTTGACCCCTTGCAGATGACACGGCTTCCGATATATCCAATGCATACCTCGCCTGCAGCGGTATTTCACAATCATTACTTAACGGGTGAAATTAAGCCGTGGTATTTTAGGATTTTATTGCTTACTAAATATAAAACAAGGACCCTTGTGACTTTAACGGTTGGAGGGAAATTGATCGGGTCGATATTTACATGACCTTTTGATTCGTGCACGTGCTCAGCTCGTGTCAGGGATTCCCTTAGGACATCGATAC